AGCATGCCCTAGATAACTTTCAAACATTAACTTTATAAAATGAACCTTTTGCTTTTTCCTCTTTTACTTACTGTGTGTGACCATCATTTGCTGTGTTTCCCACTTTGTTACCAGTCTGACCTTGAACCTCTCACTGACAGGCTCAAAGACTGGACCCCTCACTCAACCATGAACTCCCAGAACCCTTCCATGCCATTCATATCCTCTTTCCTCCCCACACACAGGCTCCTCTTCCTCCCAGACAAAAGCCCACTTTGATGACTCCTCCACAGCACTGATTCTGCAGGGCTGTTTGTTGTGTTTCACTCTGAGGTTGCACATAAAGGACTCAACAATGATTAAGTTTTATATATGTCTTTATATATACCATAGTTTTATACATTTAAATATAGAATTTAAACAAAAAACTGGACCAGAAGAAGACTCAGTTGTATGGAAAAACCTTTCACCTCTGTTTCAAAGATGCCTTGAACATCTAGGTAGCAGTAGTAGACAATGCACCATCTCTTCTATCTTCATTACAATACATACCATTAGGCAAGTCAGCGACTTACACACACACACACACAAACACACACATGGCTTAGCTATCCTAGAGGTAATAAGATTCACAGGCCACAACACTTGGGATGGAGGGGGCTGGGTTACTTAGCAACGAGCCTGTTGATGTCAAAACAATGTTCATGTCGTCAAAGTGGCTGGTTGTGCCAGACTGAGGTTCTAGTCAGTACAACAGTGTTACTGCTGTATTCCTAAATGTAGACTGAGGAAGAGCCCACAGACAAGCTGCAGCACTGAATGAAACAGCCACCAACACAAAGTGCCTAATTCATAGAAATACCATTCACATTGGTGCGATTTTCATTTTGCTGTCCGTGTAGAGTCCAGACTAGTGACCAGTCTGTGAAGAAAGGGATGAGACAACTCTGTCATTTACTGTATATTGCTTTTTTTTAATGAAAGCTCAGAAATGCACTGGGCAATGTGAAATGATTGTAGGTTTTTTAACTTAACAAAAAGCAATCAGAAAATAACAGACTGCATTTATTTAAAAAACAATATGGACAAAAGATGTTTGACAAGCACAAGGACAATTACTAGCAAACTACACAAACAAACCTAAGTTATGAGGATTGGCAAGGTCGTACAGCTCCCTCATTTAAATAATAAGCACATACATACTGAGAAAAAGTCAGTTCTATCCACCAGTTGTAGAAAAATCAAAGTGCAGTCTTTATCTAACAGACTCTTTGCTCCCAGAAAAGTTGTGTTTGCTGTGTCATCTTAGTGCTTGTGTGCATGCTGGAACAAAAATGATTCACACTTTGTCTTGCAGAGGGTTTTGCATACAGGCCAACATATAAAAACGATGCTGATTCCTGGTAATTATTAAATATGCTATTAATAAGCTGTCCATGACACACAGATGGAGCACATAACTTCTGAGTAGCATAACTGCTGGCTACTATGTGAGACTGAGAACAGCAAAAATGCTTTGTAATGTAATCAATACTCATTGCTCTGTAGTGTAACCAGTGCCAATTATTTTGAACAGCACTGCATTTTAGGCACCAGGGCTCTGTCATCCATGTTGGGATACGGTACATCTCCCAGCCAGTCGCTGGCAACAGGAGAAAGTGAAAAGGCATTTAAATATAGCCGAAGTAGTCAAGAAGCCAGAGTCATGAACCAGGCAGCCATGCATAAGATGTGAAAGGTAACTCCAGGACACACCCTGATGGCAATTCAAATGTTTAAGTGTAGTACCCCTGTGTGCATGTGTGTGTGTGCATCTGCTGTTTAACAGCTTTCGTCTGTGACCATCAGAGGAAACTGCAGGACACCGTCGGTGTGGGCACCAGATTCACTCAACCTATTTTCACACTATTACCAGTCCACATCACAGGGTGACAGACGTTTACAAGATAGAACCTTAAAGCAGCCTGTTGAGTTTGCAGTTTGTTGGATTTGATGTCTCTTGCACAGAAACTTATTAATGTTGTGCAGAATAATTAATCCCAAAATGTTCATCGAAGAAACGGCCCACATACAAGAAGGCAGCACAAACACTAGTAAGTACATACTGAACCATACAACAGACTTTTGCTCGTCAGCTGGTCCTGTTTATTACATGTTTGTTTTCATTGCAGCATCTTTAAGAAAATGTCCAACATGCAGAAGGCATTTAGTAGTATCATAGTCCAAACTACAGCAAAGCTCACTGAAAGCCTCAAAGCAGTATTTTTATATGTGTATTTACACAAATTCCTGTAAATACTATATGCAACTTGTACATAATAGAAGCCTTTTAGATTAAAAAAATATGGTTCAAACATCTAATTTCACAGTGTAGTCTGTTTAGTCCTGCTATTACAGACATCACTAATGCAAACAAGCTGTGTCATGTATTGAGCACAAACAAGTGGACCACAACGCCGCAGTGCTTTCTCCACACACGACCACAGCTGTAGACCTCAATCTGTACACAAGATATTCAACCTGATGCTTTGTGAAATTTTATTTTCATTTTAAAGGCAATGGAATTGGCAGTGATGAAGAAAAACTTTATTAATGACATTATTATCATGGATCCTCTTTAATATTAATAATAATAATTATTATTAATCAGGTACTCCCATTGAGAATGTGACCTCTTTTTTAAGAACAAACAAACAAAAACATGTGGTTTCAACACACAAATTACAACAGTTTGACAATAAGAAAGACAATTACAAGTGAAACTGCAAATACTTTCATGTATAGTGTTTTAAAATCTTCAAATGAAGTGAGAGATTTGATTTTCTAAGCTTTCTGTGGAAGGAGCAGAGTATGTGAAACCAGTTTTCATATGCTCAGTGTAAACATGAGGTGCAGATATGTTTTTTTATATTATTTTTGCCTTTATTTCACAGTAAATTATGGACAGGAAACATGAGGAGCCAATGAGAGGGGGAGACGTGCAACATCGGTCCACATCATTTAACTATTGTTAAACTATCCTGTGACCTAACACTGTATGAGGCCAGACAGCAGAGTATTTGCAGTACAGCCTTATGGATAAATAACATATACAACATAATCATGAGCACACAGATAATGGTTTTTTGACTATAGGAGAAGCAAATTTAGTTTCTATAAAAAAGGAAAAATTCGACCCTTAGTTTGCTCGTCCAGTGTTTCCTGATTCCAGTATTTATGACACTAAACAGTTCCAGTCTGAGAATCCTGAAGTGTGTGTGTGAAGGGACAGCAGACTGGACCCTGTTAAGTGGTGCTGTGAATAACATACATTTTATTATCTGTCAGAAAATGAAAACAAGCTTATATTTGATAAGAGATATTTGACATTTTTCAAAAGCAGACTGCAGATTAAGAGAACAGCCAGTGACATATAAAACAGTGCCATCATTATAAAAATGGACATTACAGTTTGGCAAAGATAATATTATTTATATATTAAAACAGGACCAAGAATAAACTGACTGAGTTCTATAAATAGATCTTTATCTGTCTTGCCCTAGTTTGTCCATTAAAATATTACGATAACCTGAATCAGCCACTTTAGATCGAGCCATTAAAAGACCAGTGCAGTATTGATCACCGTGCACAGCACTGACAGTATTACTTAGTGCACATGCTGCACCTGTTGTTGTGCTGTGGCATGCTCTAAAGTCTAACTGCTAAGGTAGTAAGGTGATTTGTCTCTAGACACAATTGCAGTTGAGATTTTGAAATGATTCATGTCAAGTTATTCAGGTCACTGGGATTACCACTTTTATGTAATTGTGATGCTAAGTTCTTTTTTGTCACTGTGCTCATGTGAATGCATTTTAATGGTTTTGTTAGTAGATCTAATGTCATCCATTCTTTTATAGAGGCACTTTCTCACTTTCTCACTTTCTACTCCATCTGCAATAAAGACTAGCTTTGCATATGTGCACTGTCCTTACTTTTACATTCAAATAAGGTGTTTATTACAGAAATTCTATTATTGAAAATTTTACATACAAAACAAACACAGAGAGGGTTACATCAGCAAAGAGGAGGACAGCAGCAAAACCAAAGGAGGTACCCAGATACACTAGATTTATTAAAAGGTGGTGGAGGTTTATACACTTACAGTGCCACAGACAACAAGCCTGCTGTCATCAGTGTCAGCATTCTGAGTGCTATAGGTTTGGACCGATGCAGTACTGGTGAGAAGAATGCAGACAATATAAGGAAATGTGTTTTTAACCTGCAACTGTCTAGCACGATCCTAGTGCCCTTACAATATGCTGTATGAATATATACATAAATGGGTGATACATACAAAGAAGAACCGACATAAAGTGTCTCAGTAAGGTGTTGCACCACCATGTGTCAACAGAACAGTGCTCCATTGATTCTCTAGTCCCTGAACTCTACTGGAGGGATAAATACCATCCCTCCAAAACATAAAACACCAAATGAGGGAACATTTGGTGTTTTGATGATGGCGGTGGAGAGCGCCGTCTAACACATCCCTCCATAATCTCTCATAGGTGTTTAACTGGGCTGAGACCTGGTGACTGGGCCACAGCATAGAATTTACATCATGTTCATACCTATCAAAGTATTCAGTGACCCCTGTGGAAGAGACCACTCTCATCAGGATAGAAACATTATCATATATGGTAATACCTTATCAGTATTATATTATGATATTACATTTATATTTAAAAAACATCTTAAAGAGCCAAAAACAATGGCTGTTTATGATGAAAAGAATAACTTGACCTTACAAGCCCCCCTTTTTTGGGGATGAGCTTCCTTTCTAATCTTTCTCTGGTGAGTGAAATAAGTATAAGTGTGAGGTGAGCGCGCGGAGTGAATTTGAACCAACCCCTCTTCCCTGTGGACCGTACTGGAGCCGCGT